TTTAGGATAATAAATGTGTATGTATAGACATAGATATGATTGTTTATATAATGGTAATTATATTTTATGTAAAAAGGATGGGGAGAGGAAGGAAGGGAAGGGGAAAAAAGAGGGGAGGGGAAGGGAAAAGGGAAAAAAAAAAACTATGTCAATGTAAATGAGATATATACTTTGTTGCCTGATTTGAATAAAGAAAGGGAAAAAACAAAAACCAGAGCTGACCATGCCTTTGACATTACCGCCCCTAGACTCTGGAATAATCTCCCAGTTGATATCCGTAAATTGGAATCAACTCAGTCGTTCAAATCATGCTTAAAACACACCTATTCAACTTGGGGATGGCAAGTGTCCTGCACTACACCATGCAATGTAATTTTAATTGTAACTGTACTACTTGTTCCTTGTTGTGCCCGCATTGCGGTACACTAGTCTTTCAAATGTGCTATAGAAATTAATTTTGACTTGACTTGACTTTTGTATGTGGTGATCAGGGCTCACTACCCGGGTACCACCACAATAACAGAGGCCCTGAAGACACAGAAGAAGCTGTGGTCGTCAGAGGACTACAGCACCTTTAACAATGAGGTGGGAGGAGGTTGTTGGGCTCGTATCCTCAACCAGAACTATGTCAATGGACAAATGACTGCGTAAGTTAAAAAACAAGCAGTACATGCCAGCAAAAATATTAAGCATTACACAGAATGTTTTTAAATTTATTGAATTTTAATCAGTTTGATGGTAAGTTTATTTTTAGTTAGAATAAAGTGTAAACTTGGTGAATACATGCTTTGGACAGACTGTTAAGCCTTAATGTTGAACAATGTGGTTAATATGACTGTGATCCTTCCTCCAGCACCATCTCCTGGAATCTGGTGGCCAGTTATTATGAGGATCTCCCATTCGGCAGGGACGGGCTCATGACAGCTGAGGAGCCCTGGAGTGGCAACTATGTGGTCGAGTCTCCAATTTGGATCACGGGTCTGCATACAGAGACAGATAGTTTGAAAATGTGTTTCAGATCAACATAACATTTCTCATAATAGCAAAGTTATTAGAGAGTGGTCAGTGGTCATAAAGGTCAGCAGTGTACTTTAAAATCCAGAAATCATGACACTAACCCTTAAGGTTCTGAGTAAATATAATTCATTATGTCACTGCATTTTTAGTGTTGACTGTATGTTGCATACTGATGGGTAGACTGCATGTAATTAGAAGACATCTCACTTGTGAGACAGATTTGATGGGTTGGCGAAAGTTTTGGCATGAAAGCAATCTGATTTTTTTTTTTTAGAAGTGAATTAGTTTGGTAGTTGTTAGGTCTGGCTGAGTGATTGTTTTGTAACCCTTTGTTTTCAAATGTTTTCCTTGCAGCCCACACCACACAGTTCACCCAGCCAGGATGGACCTACCTGCAGACTGTTGGACATCTGGCACAAGGTGGAAGCTATATTGCCTTGACTGATGGGAAGGGAAATCTCACTGTTGTCATAGAAACAATGGTAAACAATAGAAACACACACACACACACACACACACACACACACACACACACACACACACACACACACACACACACACACACACACACACACATGAATGCTCCTTTTAACAAAGCTTTTTGTTTCCTTTATAGACTCACAATCATTCAGTGTGCATAAGACCTCCACTACCTCCCTTTAATGTAACATCCCAAAATGCAACTTTCTGGCTAAAGGGGTCTATTGTAAGTTCATGTTATCTTCTTGAATCTTGCTTAGAGTTTCTGACTTGTACATCTCTCATGTTCAAGATTATTTATTTCTTCTTAGGCATCCATTAAAGAGCTCCAAGTGTGGCGGTCACAGTTTGACTTTAAGACGAACAAGCCCTCCTTTTTTGAGAAACTAAAACCCCTGAAGGTGCTGTTTACACTCTGAAGAAAGATGCACCTCAGTGATATGTGGGCACCAGTTTGTCAACTGTAACACTGTCTTTATATGACATTAGCTTGTAGATGGCTCGTTTACCCTGAATCTGGCTGAAGACGAGGTTTACACACTGACCACTGTTAGCACAGGAAGCAAAGGCAGCTATCCCGACCCACCTCCCTCAGCTCGCTTTCCTAAAGTGTACAAGGATGACTTTGATGTTCGTAAGTTAACCATGTGCATGAACCCAAAACTCACCGAATTTTTTACGTCCATTAAAATGACATAAAATGTGACCTTTATTTTAAAACTGCTTCTGTGTATTTATAGGAAGCCCACCTTTTTCAGAAGCTCCATACTTTGCTGATCAGACAGGAGTGTTTGAGTACTACATTAACCTGACTGATCCTGGACCTCACGTTTTCACCTTAAGACAGGTTCTAACAGAAAGGCCCATCACATGGGCAACGGATGCTGATCAGACCATTAGTGTCATCGGAGACTATTACTGGTGAGTAGTCCTGTGACTACTATGATTACCTTAGTTGGGTTAGTCACTACTATCACTAACCCAACTAAAGTAATTCATGGGGTGTCTGTGGCTCAGGAGGTAGGCAGACACACACAGACACACAAAAATTTTTTTTTTTTTCTCCACCCTGTTACATTGTTATTTTATACAGGCAGAGCCTGACAGTGACATGTGACGTCTTCATGGAGAAGATGAATGCTGGTGGTGTGTTCATAGCAGCCAGAGTGGATAAAGGGGGACAGTCAATCCGCAGTGCTAAAGGAGTCTTCTTCTGGGTGTTTGCTGATGGCACCTACAAAGTTACCAATGATCTTGGTCAGTACAATCTGTCTCTGCTCCAACCTTATATAAGAGTGATCAAAGATGTCCTACCATTAGTTAATGATTGAGTCTTAAAAAATGATCAATCTGTCTTTATTAATGGGCTGTGTACCACAGGGTTTTGATGTTCCACTAGTTAAACCATTACTTACAAAGCTATCACTTGATCCCGCTGTCTTAGCTAGTTCTAGGCCAGTCTTCAACCTTTTGAAAATTGGCCTAACATTAATATTAGATTTGTCAACTCTTTCTCAAATTTTTGAGGATTGATTTTATTAAAAATGATAATAATACATTTTATTTAAAAGGCGCCTTTCAGAACACTCAAGGACACTGTACACAGCAGAATAATAAAAGTAACATAAAAGCATGCAGTTTACATAATCATAAAAACATAAGACATAAAACAAATATAAAATTAGAATAGTTTCAGTCAAGTTTCACAACTTATCAAAGTACTGAAACAGCATTAGTTAAGGTTGCACATCATCTCAGTACAGCGTTCCATACTGTTGCCCATTAGTGATGGGATTTCCGGCTCTTTTTAGAGATCCGGCTCTTTCGGCTCGGCTCACTAAAAAGAACCGGCTCTTCAGGTTGTTTTGTTGCTTTAATTAATTTATTATCAACAATAATATAAAATTATGCACAAAAGGAATTACTAATGTAAAAAAGTGGTTTTATTTATATATGTTTATATATAAATATATGCGGTGGCCCCTAGAGACAAAGCACGTACAAACTCTAAAGCATATACAAACTCCAAAACACATTTCTAGCGTTAACTGAACTTCCAAAACAGAGCTACCTAGATCACTTAAATTACACAATTGAAAGCATATGTGTATTGTTTGTGTATTTATAGACAAGCACTCACATATATTCAAATATTTTTTTTAAAAAAAGTTCATTTACCTGTTTCAGCTAAACGGGCTGGCCTCGTTTCGCGCCGACAGAAATGCAGCTCTGTGCGGTAAGACTCGCGGTGGCGGCTTGTGTGTTTACATCAACGCGAAATAGTGCAAGAACTCTGTGCTAGTTTCTAGTTATTGCTCATCGCTGGTGGAGTTTGTGACTGTTAGATGCAGACCTTTTTATTTACCACGGGAATTCACCACTGTTTTCATTATTGGAGTGGCGCCGAACTTTCTCGGGCCATCAGAGAGGCGAAGCGCGCACACGCCCAGAGAATCCACAACCACTTCAAGGACAGTGGCGACACACGGCGCTGCTGAGCATCAATGGCTCCTTTGTGGAGATCGTCGACAGCACCAAATTCCTGGGCGTCCACCTGGACAAGGACCTCGGCTGGTCCCTCAACACCAGCTCCCTGCACAAGAAAGCCCAACAGCGTCTCTTCTTTCTGAGAAGACTGAGAAAGGCCCAGCTTCCACCACCGATCCTGACCACCTTCTATAGAGGAACTATCGAGAGCATCCTGAGCGGCTGCATCACTGTCTGGTTTGGGAACTGTGCCATATCGGACCGCAAGACCCTACAGCGGATAGTGGGAACAGCAGAGAAGATCATCGGGGTCTCTCTCCCCTCTATTGAGGACATCTACACCACACGATGCATTCGCAAAGCCACCAGCATTATGGCTGATCGGACACACCCCTCTCACACACTCTTCACACTCCTGCCATCTGGAAAAAGGTACCGAAGCATTCGGGCACACACATCCAGACTGTGCAACAGCTTTTTTCCACAAGCCATCCGTCTCCTCAGCAAAAAGGGACTGACTGATAAACACCACCAGCACACACACACACACACACACACACACACACACACACACACACACACACACACACACACACAAACATTATCACTCAGCTTAACTCAACTACCTCAAAACATTGAGACTGGACTGACTAATCAACACAAGCGCAAACACACTGACCTACACCACCAAACCATCGTACACACCAACCTGTAAATGCTCTTTTGCACAATATTATTACTGGACTTTTTGCACTAACTTCTGCACTTCCTAATTTTTGCTGCTACACTAAGGAATGTTTACTGTTCCTCCACTACCTCAACTCATCATCACAAAACCTTATTATTATGTTACGTTGTGTTTTTTTGTCACACTGTCACTTTGCTGCTCTTGTTTGCACATTTACACGTGCACTTTCTTGTCTGCTGTCTGTTAACAAGAAAAAAAAAGTCTTCCTTAGATAGTTAGTTAGTTTTTGTTAATTTATGTTGTAATTTATGTTAGGTCAGTCTGTCTTGTCTCTGCTAGCCAGCTAACTAGGCCTCTTAGTTAGCTAGTTTAGTGTTTTCTGTTAATTTATGTTGTTAATTTATGTTGCATGTAGCACCTTGGTCCTGGAGGAACGTTGTTTCGCTTCACTGTGTACTAACTGTATATGGTTGAAGTGACAATAAAGCCAACTTGACTTGACTTGACTTACTACCACACACCAAATCGGATTGTTGATAATTCCTGGCTTGTGTAGCCACTAGGTAACAAAAGCTCAACACTGCGCCCTAGCATCCTGGAGCACTTCTGTTGTCTTTTGTATGTGCTTCAGAGTTTGTACATGCTTCTGGGTTTTTACGTGTTTTGGAGTTTGTACATGATTCTGAGTTTGTACATGCTTCTGGGTTTTTATGTGTTTTGGAATTTTTACATATTTTGGAGTTTGTACGTGCTTTGTCTCTAAGGGCCACCATAAATATACTTTATTTATTCACTCCACATAAAATGTAATAAATAAATCATATAATACAAAAACCAACTATTTACATTTTAAACTTTTAACAATTTAAATTTTCAGCTTTTTCCTTTTAAACAATTTTAAAGTGAAACAACACAAAACACTGCAAACCACAACACAATTAAATATAAATTAAAATATAAAAACAAAAAGAGCTTGCATATTCTGTCATATGGGCCTGCATGAATAAGCTTTCTGAATCCGTTATCATCCGCAACTGAAAATAGTTGTGGATGATTACTATACCTTTCTAATGTGACGTTATTGTCCCTGGCTCTCTTTCTCTCCCGCTCTGTTCCTGTGCTATTGCAAGTGTAACTACCGCCCCTCCCCCCTCTTCCCAGCGCAAAGTACAAGCCTCGCATGCGGAGTGAAGCGGAAAAAAGGTGCGAGAGAGAGAGAGAGGGTGAGAGAAAGAAAAACAACCCCACGGCTCGCGATAAGGAGCCGGCTCGCGTCGTTCACTTCAAAGAGTCTACTCTAAGAGCCATTTCGTTCGCAAACGACACATCACTATTGCCCATAATATACTATTAGAGCAGTTAAAGCATGTCGTCCCTCTCTAAAACAGCAGGATGGGTGTTGGTGTCCCTGTTTTGTTGGTCAAAGCGGGCAAAAAACTGGTTTAGGGTGTCAGGTAAGGTGATGTCCGGGGAGTTTGTTTGTGTGCGACTGTCCTTGTAGCCAGTGAGTGTCTTGATCCCCTGCCACATGTTTCTGGAATTGTTTGTGTTAAAGTGTTCCTTGATGCACTGTTTGTATTTCCGCTTGGCTTCTTTTATGCGTTTAAGCAGAGATTGGCGTGCCTCTTTGTTGGTCTCCTGATCTGAAGGCACTGTCCCATGCTCTTAGTAGGGCTCGCACCTCACTGTTGAGCCATGGCTTCTGGTTCGGGAACACTTTAACAGTCTTTGTTGTTGTTACACTCTCGCTACAGAAGTTGATGAATGAGAGTACAGCAGATGTGTGGCCCCCCAAGTCTGATCCTTCTGCAAATGCACTCCAATTCATATTATCAAAACAGTTTTGTAGGGCCGTGGTGGCTTCCATGGTCTACTCTCGTACTGTTTTTACAGATGGTTTTTGTCTTTGAGTTAGAGGTTTAAAGGGAGGGATCAGGGACAGAGAGAGATGGTCTGAGAGTCCAAGAGGAGGCAGTGGGGTGGCTTTGTAAGCATCTGGGATGTTGGTGTAGACCTGGTCAAGTGTGTTGTTTTCGCTTGTTGGGAAGCTCAAGTTTTTAAAGAATCCAGACAGGACAGATTTCAGGTTTGCATGGTTAAAATCTCCTGCCATGGTCACAGCGCAGTCCGGGTGCGTTGTTAGCTGTTTATTAATGGAGCGCTGGAGTAGCTCCATGGCTGACTGCACTGCAGTGGTTTGAATTACATTCATCTAATACAGGGAGTGCAGAATTATTGCGCAAGTTGTATTTTGAGGAATAATTTTATTATTGAACAACAACCATGTTCTCAATGAACCCAAAAAACTCATTAATATCAAAGCTGAATGTTTTTGGAAGTAGTTTTTAGTTTGTTTTTAGTTTTAGCTATTTTAGGGGGATATCTGTGTGTGCAGGTGACTATTACTGTGCATAATTATTAGGCAACTTAACAAAAAACAAATATATACCCATTTCAATTATTTATTTTTACCAGTGAAACCAATATAACATCTCCACATTCACAAATATACATTTCTGACATTCAAAAACAAAACAAAAACAAATCAGCGACCAATATAGCCACCTTTCTTTGCAAGGACACTCAAAAGCCTGCCATCCATGGATTCTGTCAGTGTTTTGATCTGTTCACCATCAACATTGCGTGCAGCAGCAACCACAGCCTCCCAGACACTGTTCAGAGAGGTGTACTGTTTTCCCTCCTTGTAAATCTCACATTTGATGATGGACCACAGGTTCTCAATGGGGTTCAGATCAGGTGAACAAGGAGGCCATGTCATTAGTTTTTCTTCTTTTATACCCTTTCTTGCCAGCCACGCTGTGGAGTACTTGGACGCGTGTGATGGAGCATTGTCCTGCATGAAAATCATGTTTTTCTTGAAGGATGCAGACTTCTTCCTGTACCACTGCTTGAAGAAGGTGTCTTCCAGAAACTGGCAGTAGGACTGGGAGTTGAGCTTGACTCCATCCTCAACCCGAAAAGGCCCCACAAGCTCATCTTTGATGATACCAGCCCAAACCAGTACTCCACCTCCACCTTGCTGGCGTCTGAGTCGGACTGGAGCTCTCTGCCCTTTACCAATCCAGCCACGGGCCCATCCATCTGGCCCATCAAGACTCACTCTCATTTCATCAGTCCATAAAACCTTAGAAAAATCCAGTCTTGAGATATTTCTTGGCCCAGTCTTGACGTTTCAGCTTGTGTGTCTTGTTCAGTGGTGGTCGTCTTTCAGCCTTTCTTACCTTGGCCATGTCTCTGAGTATTGCACACCTTGTGCTTTTGGGCACTCCAGTGATGTTGCAGCTCTGAAATATGGCCAAACTGGTGGCAAGTGGCATCTTGGCAGCTGCACGCTTGACTTTTCTCAGTTCATGGGCAGTTATTTTGCGCCTTGGTTTTTCCACACGCTTCTTGCGACCCTGTTGACTATTTTGAATGAAACGCTTGATTGTTCGATGATCACGCTTCAGAAGCTTTGCAATTTTGAGACTGCTGCATCCCTCTGCAAGATATCTCACTATTTTTGACTTTTCTGAGCCTGTCAAGTCCTTCTTTTGACCCATTTTGCCAAAGGAAAGGACGTTGCCTAATAATTATGCACACCTGATATAGGGTGTTGATGTCATTAGACCACACCCCTTCTCATTACAGAGATGCACATCACCTAATATGCTTAATTGGTAGTAGGCTTTCGAGCCTATACAGCTTGGAGTAAGACAACATGCATGAAGAGGATGATGTGGACAAAATACTCATTTGCCTAATAATTCTGCACTCCCTGTAGACTCCAATTTTTCTTGTTAAGGAGTCGTCTTCTTCATACAGTAAGATTAATTATGGAGTTCCACAGGGCTCTATGCCTAGGCTAATTGTATGTACATTATGCTTGCTTTCTTTAGGAAGTGTCATTAGAAGGCATATCACACATTTTCAGTACTGTAGAGTAGGGCTGCACGATTTTGCATAAAATGAGAATCACGATTTTTTGGCTTAGAATTGAGATCACGATTCTCTCACGATTTTCTTTTCCAGTATAAATATTTATTGCACTTATTAACTGCACATCAACTTCGTAACAGTTGAGACTGAACATAAAAACAATAAATAAACATAAAAACAACAAATGTCTCACATTTTGTCGTTGCCGCAAAATGTTGTACTGCTTGAAATTCCGTCTCCACCGTTGCTCGACACTGCGTGTATAGAGCAGGTAGTGCAACAATAGAAAAATAGTTGCGGGACGGCACTGTGTAGCGTTTGTCTAGGGTGTTGATCATTTTCCTAAATCCCTCGTTTTGCACAGTGTTGATGGGAGCCATATCTTTGGTCAGGTGATAAGTGATAGCCTCCGTAATTTCTTTGTGCCTGCGGGAGTTCGACGGGTATAGGGAAGCGCTGTATAAGGTTCCCGTTATTGATGTTTTGTTATGGCAGATGGACCCAGGAAGCAGAACGCACGGAGGCAGAGTTGCGGTGAAGACAGTTTATTTACAGTGAGGGGGAGGTATTTACAAGGACAAAATATATACAACAGTGTATGAATGGGGACGCGGAGCCAGGACGTGCAGGTGACGAAAACACACACAGGTAGTGCACTCGATCTAAAAAAGGAGAGGGACGAGAATTAGGAGGGTCTTGCCCGATAACCAAGATAACCACTGCTGTTAAGATTTGGCACTGTATAAATAAAATAGAATTGAATTGGTTCATCACACTTAACTCCAAACTGAAAACCAAAATCATCACTTATAGTCTTTTATTTCGTAGACAGTTTCTCCATAATTTCCATAGTTGGACAGTTTGTTGTTTCTGTGCCTCTCATCACTGTTCTTTTGTCAACAGTTGGCGAGACTGTACTTGCAGAGGGACAGTCTGGTACTGAGGTACATAGCTGGTACACCTTGTCACTCACTGTAAAAGTAAGTAGACACTTTTTACTATTTCTAATGTTTCTTTATACTCTCACTTCTTCCACTGTTATGATGATTAAAGGAGTTTGTAATCCAATAAACCATGTTAGGACTTGGAGATTAGATCAACTCAGATTAGCTACTGTCATTATCAATAGTATTTTGAGTCAGCATCTAAATCACATGAGAGATTTAAGATGATGTATTAGCAAGTCAGAGCAAAAAATCTGCCCTTTTCCTACTTGGATTTTATGTGGAGGTTTTTTTTTTAGGTGATTTGTAGATCTGTAGGTGTGTTAATACAGTACGTAAAAATCAAGAAATAACAGACGTCACACTTGAGGTTGTACTGAAAAAAGGCAAGGTAAACAGTTTGTGATCATATATGAAGACAAAATAAAAGTGAAGGATTATAACCTTGACGACACAGTTAACTGGGGCAGTAATCAGTCCTGCTTTCTGGTAGCTGTGCAGGAACAGTCCTTTCTGGTGTAGGTTATTGTGTTGACACACTGTAACTGAACATTTCAGCAATATGCCTGTCTTATCACAGCCACATTAATTTACGAATTAACCTATCTGTCTTTTTGCACGGATTTGAAAATGTAAAGATGTTTTTCTCTTTACTGTAGGGACAGTATGCATCAGGGTCACTGAATGGATACCCTCTGTGGAAGAATGCTGTGATACTGACCCCAAAGGCTGGCTGGGCTGCCATAGGAACACGCTCATTTGAACTGGCCCAGTTTGATAACTTTGCTTTGGTGGCTGAGTGATGAATTAACTTTAAATCATGATTTACACTATGCTGAATGTCCTGATTCATTTATGGACTTGATTAGTACTTTACAGCCGATAGCTTCAAGCATAATAATGATGTTGTGTGTAAAATTTTGGGCGATGTATTAACAGAAATGGGTTATAGTATTTAATTACCATGTAATTATGAATCACTGTGTTTTTTGTTGGAATGATCCTGTCATATCAAACCTCAGTCCTGAACAGAAATTAATGTCTTTCTACAGCTCACAGCCAACAAAACACTGGTTTAAGACCTTTCTTTGAAGAGATGCCAAGACTTCAAGATAAGGCTGGAATTGTTTTGGGGCATAACTTGTAGTGAATCGTGTGTTTGTAGCACATCAGAATCCATCACACTTGTACAGGATGTGCCTTATAGCCTGGTGTTAGAATCAAATGACCATATTAGTATTTGGTGTTAGCCGTGTAGTTGGCTTGTCACTACCATAGGAGCATCCCTCAGTTCCCTCAATGGGCTCCACCCCTCATTTGTTGCATCTGTTTTCAAAACAGCTAAGTTTCAACACACCACGCTTCTCGGAAATAATACTTAATGTCTTGGTGGTTGCCTCCATCTCCATCTTTTTATATACAGTGTATGTGGAGGAAAAAAATATATCATATGGCACTGAATCCTGGAACTTTGTTTGGTGTGAAATGTGTGTGTTTAGTTAGTTTGTTTGTTTGCTTGTTTTAATCAATTTTAAATCATGCTTTTTATTTGTTTTTGTTTCTAATGTCTCTGTAAAGCACTTTGAATCACCTTGTTGTTGAATTGTGCTATACAAATAAATTTGTCTTGCCTTGCCTTGCCATGTGATTGTAAATGATTTTATAGTTTGACTTTATATTGTCTTAACTGCTTTGAATAAATCAAATAGAAAGCCAACCACAAGTGTAGTGTAATCCGTGACTCCCCATTAATCATGTCTGCTCCCTACTCCCATATAGCTAACTGCACAGTCACCAGGATAACCTAAGATGGCAACACAAGCACTACATTTTAATTTACATTCATTAAAATCAGCTAAATTTAGGGTCCAATCCTGATTTATTTCCTGTGCTTTGAATACCCTAGTTGTCAAAAGTGGAATAACGCTGGGATTTGGTTTAGTCAGTAGAATCTCCAGGTTAGGATTAGATATACAAATTCTGTGGAGAAGGACAGGGAAAACTACTGGTCTAGGTGTTTGTCTTACTCATTTTTCCAGTCCTAGATTGTCCAAACTAATGTAAACTTCTGAGTAGGGATGGGTACCGGTGTCCGGTGCCCACGAAAACACGAAGAGGAGAGTCCTGGCCCCTAGCCCTGCCAGTGTAGCAGAAATGATGACGGATGATGGTGGCAGCAGCCGTTCTTCTCTGCGTGAGTAGCTAATTTACGTTGAGTAGGCTAACCACGTTATTACATTAATGCATGTAAGGTGAACTAGCAAACATCATCATAGCTACATGCGGCTGTCCTTCTTGTTTGATGGCAGATACTCCCTTCACCCTGGCCAAAAAGGCTAAAATGACCAAAGAAAAAGTGGAAAACAGTTAAACATGAGAGGTTTTTGGACAAAGTTTGTGTTTTTTCCATTGTTTAAGCACTGCTTCCAGCCAAGAGTGATACCATATATGCCCCATAGCTGCAGAAAAGGCTAACATTGTTATCTTTTTACAAAAAACAGCTGAACATGAGAGGTTTTTGGACCAATTTTGTGTTCTCCATTCTTTAAGCACCGGTTTGAGCACCGTTTGAGCACCGGCACCGTTTCAAAAGTACCGATTTGGCACCGGTATCGGATAAAACCTAAACGATACCCATCCCTACTTCTGAGTACCATGGCCAAAGGATATGGAAATCTTGATTTCAGAAACTCTTATAACACTGTTGCATCCCATGAATATGAGAATTTAAGCAGGCTTACCAAAGGTGATCACCTGTTTTGTTTTTGTGTTGTTTTTGTGTTTGTTTTTTTAAACACTCACTCTACTCCATGCTGTTCATGACATCTGTGTTCTTTCTTTGCACCATGATTGGGGTTGTTGAAAAGTCCAATCATCAAGCTCTTCTCACAGTTCCATTGTTCCATGCTGGTCCGGTGTCAGGCTTCCAAGCTCCAAAGTAGAGCTTTCAAGTTACTCTGAAGCTATTTTCATTGAAGAACCTTACACACACAGAACAAGATGGAAAAAAAAGTAGCAACAGGTGCCTCTGTTTTCTTGCAGTTTGCATAAGGCTTCATGACACAACAATAAACAAGGCAGCGTTCCCCACTAAAACGTATAATAATATTAAGAAAGCTCAGAAGCTGTTAAAAATCGTGGGATTAAAGTCAAGGATTTAGGTTTAGGTTAAGCTCCATGGGCGTAAACTAAGTTTTATTTTTTATTTGGGGTGGGGAATTTAAGGTATAAGGTTTCAAACCTATATTCAGACGTAGACAGCATATTGAGTGGGTTGGTCAGCACGTACCACATTGCATCTGGCAGATCTGCCCTTTATACTAGTAAATGGACGAACTTTATAAATTGCCTTTCTACAAAGGTATTGCTCATCATTCACACATCACTAATAACTAATAATAACTAATAACTCCAATTTCCTTGGCAGCACCTGGAAATTGGAGTTATGGCAGACTGCACAATTTCCCCTCTGGCATTTATCATGGCAATGGAGTTGGTTATGCAGGTATCCCAGTGGGTAGTGGGATGTGAGAGACTCAAGAGTGGCCTTCGTCTTCTACCCATTAGGGCCTACATGGATGACATGACCATCATTACAACAACAAAAGCATGTACTAGGCGATTGCTACAGAAGCTCCAGGAAAACATAGAATGGGCAAAAATGGAGTTTAAGCCAAGTAAATCTTGCAGTATCTCCATCATAAAAGGAAAACTGACAGCCTAGCAATTCTATATCAGTGGAGAACCAATTCCAGCAGTCTTAGAGAAGCCCATAAAGAGCCTGGGATGGTGGTATAATGCAGACCTCAATGACACGTGGCAACTAGAACAACTAAGGCAGATCTTGGCTGATGACCTCAAGCAGATTAACAACACTGCACTCCCAGGGAAACTGAAGCTCTGGTGCTTCCAGTTTGGGTTATTACCCAGACTACTGTGGCCGCTGACAATGTACGAGGTCTCACTCAATCATGCCAATCAACTAGAGAGGCTAGTGAGCTCCTACATTAAGAAGTGGCTCGGACTTCCCAAATGCCTCAGCAGCGTTGGACTCTACAGCGACGGGATACTGTCATTGCCTATCCCTAGCCTGGTTGAGGAGATTAAATGTGCAAAAGTAAGGCTTGAGATGTCACTCACGGGCTCCCGGGACCCCATAGTGAGAGGCACTGCTCCCACCCTAGCAACGGGGAGGAGGTGGACCGCAGCCACATCTGTGCTACAGGCGAAATCCGCTCTTCGGCACTGTGATGTGGTCACGTCCAACAGGGTAGAGGAGGATTTGGTCTTGGCGCAGTAACACCTCGGTGGCAACAGGCATCTGTAACTGTTCTGGTTACAGATGCCTGATTTCTGAAGAATAAATTCCTCGTTTAGAGCCTCTGGGTCTGGGACTGGTCCAGCATCGACACTGTCAGCAGAGGATGGTCCAGCTGCTAGTGTAGAACTTTTAGCAGGAGGTGAAGCTGAAAAATTTTAAATATTAAACATTCATTAAAATGGGTTGAAAAAAATGTACAGTACACATAATAAGTAGTGATTTGCATGTTTTCAGTTAAGTTTTTACTAAAGTTACAACTTGTAAATATTGGCATCAAATAAGTCATCTCACACACTCACTGACCCAAATCATTCAGTACAAGTGCCCTCGGGGGTAGTGTGACATCTGTAGTGCTTTTCTACATTGTACATTAATAAATTAATGAGTGTGACTATAAATCCAGATAGATAATGACTTTTTCCTCTGATGACACTACTTTCCTGACTTTGTAGTGAATAACATTTGACACTTCAAGCTAGTACTGTGACTTAGGAGTTTTGTACAATGGTGATGCTAACGACCTCAGGGAGGTAATCAGGTAACCTCTTAAGAAGTATATAAGTTATTTAAGAATCTTGGTGTTCATATTGGTAACATTATATAACATTTGTTATACTAGAAAGTCTCGAAGAGAATTATCAGGTCTGGTTTTCGTGAAGATTTGTACAATTACATTTGTATAAACATGAGTGTGAAAGACCATAATATACACACACACACACAATACAAAATTGTTCAGGTGGGTAACACCAGAGGTTCAGTATGGCTAGCTTTGGTGATGTGACCGACACATGGGGAGGTAATAAGGCAGATATAACACTATTTTCATGTTAGCAACAGGACATGTAGGGCAGCTGTCACCTCACAGCAAGAAGGTTACTGGTCTGAACCTTGGCTGAATAATAGAATAGAACAGAATAGAGTAGAGTAGAATAGAATAGCTGGTGACTGTTAACTATCCTCATCCTCACCATCTTGTTTGTCTCTATGTACCCCGTGATGATCTGCCTTCTTATCTAGGGTGTACCATGAGTATCACCCAAAGACAGCTAGGATAGGCTACCTGATAAGGACACCTGGTTACAGATAATGGACAAAGCATATCTTACTTCTCAGAAGGTGTTCATAAAGCTTCCTCATCTTCATGAGGATGTCACGTGCAGCACCTTCCGCTGGTTCGATCTGAGTGATCACGTCCCCTACTATACGGCCCTTACGGTCAAACTGTCCAAGAAACAGAATTGGCTGGTAGCCCAGGGCATGTAGCTTTGAAACCTGCAAGAACAACAAAGAAAAACATGCAGCCAGTCTTTCATGTAAGCAAATTGATGTATAACAAACCTTTAAGTTTCACATCTTTGTTGTTTTATTGTTGTCGATAGTTAAAAAGTATTTATGGTGACCAAACCTGTAAATGTATGATAAAATCCATCTTGAAATGTTTTGTCTCTCAGTTAATAGCCGATTAAATTAAAAATCAGAAGTAGCTTAAATAAAAATAGTTTTTAACAAGTTTTTTCTAGTTGGATGTCTTTAGTGTGATGATGTTATTCTGATGTGAATAACTTTTTTATTTATGCTCTTTTATAAATTAATATTTTATGTGTATATACATGTCTTGTTAGTTTCTTACTTCATGATATACAAGAAAACATTGACAACTGTGATTAATAAAGAATTGTCTAGCAGACCAACCACTTATTAGATCAGAACTTTTAAACTTACTGACAACTGGGCTGAATTAACCACCCTGCTCGCATTTCTGTTGTTTTTAACAGAGGCAGCCCAGTTACTGTTTTTAAACTGTTCTTGTTTTTTTTCAATCCCTCCTTTACGTTCAGGCTGCCCAGGCATCCACTGCATGTCTTCCTGTTGCAGGTGTTTGGGCCTGACAGGAAGGGCATGGTTTGGTTTTTGGCTTTGTCATTTCTGCAAATGAAAATGGAACATGTAGGGATTATTTCAGGTCTGTTTTGGTGAAACGATTACAAAAATAATTTATGACCAAAGAAATAACTTATATTACGAGGCAGTATTACACCATATTTAGAAAAAAAAATCAATTACGAGATTAAAGTCGTTAATATTGAGTTAATTACGTGAATAGGGTTAAAAAAAACCTGAATTGATTACAGAAAAGATACATTGCTAAAATAGAGCAGTACTAACATTAGCTGGGTGGCCAAGCAAGTGTCTTACACATGAGAATACATCACAAAAAAATTAAATAAACTTTTGCAGAAGTAGTTCTCTTGGTACACAGACTGCTCTGTGAAAACATTTCAAGTTTAATATCAGTTTAATATCACTGAAATTAATATTTTCAGTGAACTTGCAAATTACCAACAGTTTATCACAACTTACTTAGCTAGGATATGCCTCGTGTCGAAAAACCA